CTTGGCGACAACTGTGAACTTGCTGGGGGATGTTGGTTAGGGGTGGTCGTGGGGCACCAGCCCCCCTTTCCTTCTGGGAGCTGGGGGAGATGCTGTAGATTAAGCTTTGTGGAACAGAGGGAGGTGCTGGAGGAGCCCCAGCCCTGAGGCAGGTTCATCCCCTCCAGCCCCTGTTGAGCTGTGTCCAAGCCCATGTGGAGTACGGATGAGAACATGTGGACCATGGTGGCACCTCGGGGGCTTTCCTGCACCAGCTGTGGAGACACTAGGACGGTGACACCTCCGAGGCAAGGGACAGGAGCCTTGTGAGGAGCACACTTCAGCTGCAGGGGCTGTGGCAGAGTCTGTGCAGAGGAAGAAAGGTGGCTGAGCCGCAGATGCTGCTCCCCAGAGATTCCAGCTCCTGCCCAGCCTTCTGTTCGCAACCCCGGCATGGCATCCCACAGGATCACGGGCCATCGTTCCTGTCTCTTCCCCCTGCCATCGGTGCTGCCCATGCTGGTGTGGACACAGCCTGCTCAGGAGAAAAGACCAGCCCCCACAGCCAGCCCTGGCCTAAGCAATGAGGGGACATCCCAGGGCACCAGCGTGGTTTCCTGCAGCTGAAGAGGAAGGCTCCCCCCATCTCCCTCAACTCCAGCTCTGCATCCCCGTCTAAGCCCCAGATCAGAGCCATCATCCCATCCTGAGAGCAACATGGGTAAGGCCTCCAGGACCTGCTCCTGGCCCATCTCCTGGAGCCACCTGCCTCTACGTGGATGCTGATGGCTTCTCCTTACAGCCTTTGGAAAGAAGCCCTGGCTCAGGGCATTACCTCTCCGCTCAGCTCCAGGCTCAGGTGCTGGCAGCACTGCAGGGTCCTCAGCTAGCAGCAGGAACACCCTCATTTCGTGCTGTTCCCTCCGTGGACAAGGACCCTGTAGCACAGCCCAGTGTTGCCACAGTTGGATGTACAGGTAACACCATGATGGTAGGGCGCTGCCTGGTTCCATCTTGCTGCCTGTCCTGCCTTGCCTGGGTTTTACAGGGCATGAGCTACACCTCAGAGCATCTCCCACCGAGCTCTCGGGATTTTGCAGTGTCCCAGGGCAGGGATGTGGTGCAGGAGATGATGCTTCTGACACCCCCAGCCCTGAGCAGCCACTGGGGGCTGCAGCCAGGCAGAAGGAAATTGAGAGCCTTTCACCTGGAGGCCAAATCCAGACCTAGCTTAGCTCAGCAGGGACTAAAGTTTACAATCTGTGCCACGGAGTGACTGAAGCCCCAACCGAGGCAGCTCAGCCCTCTCTCAGAGCCCAGCACAAAGTCCGTGGTGGCAAAGACAAAACTCCTCCAGCCTTCTCTACTGGTTGGGATGGTCAGAGATGGAGACCTTGTGGCTGATCTCAGCCAGGGAGGCCCTGAGCTGTTCCTCCTGGTCACCAGCTCAAGGCAAAGCCCTGCTGCCTGCCCATGCTCTTGGGCTGCCCATCACCAGCATAACACGGCCCTCTCCGGCTTGAGTAAAACCTCCCAGACTCCATCCCTGCCCTGCACAGGGCTGTGAGACCCCTGCCCATGCCCACCTCCTGCCTGGGGAAGGACCTGTGCCCGGCAGCAGACCCACCTCTGCCTTGTGCTGCTCAGGAAAGGCCTCGGGCTCAGCCCTGCTGCTGCCTCGTGTTTCTGCCCTCTTGCTGCTTATTCCACCTGAGCTGTGACCTTCAGGATGGCTTCAAGGGATTGGGAAAGGGTTGCAGGTAGCAAACTAAAGGGGCTCAAGAAGAAATCTGGGCTGCTAAGTGTTCCTTCTTTAACATGCAAAACACACTTCAGCAGGAGCAAGGCTGGTTCTGGTACAGCCGTGACGACAGAACCGTCCCTGCTCTTGATCCCAAGGTGAAGCTGAACCGTCTCCTCCACTGCAAGCCAAGATAAGGCACTGTTGTGTCTGTCACAGCAGGGCTGGGTGCTTGGGAGAGATGTGTGCCTGGCTGCCTCACGTGAGCCTCTGCGAGCCTCTGCCCTGGTTTTGTGCTCATTTCCACTGTGTGGCAGTTCCCAGAAGTTCCCTGTTGTGTCAGCTCACTGCAGGCTGTGCTGTGGTCACTGCACCAGCAGTGGCCTGGCGTCCAAGCCTGGCTCTGGAGCCCTTTGTGCTGCTCTGGCAGGAACCTCGTGCTTCCCAGCGCTGGATCACAAGTGGCAATCGCTGCCTTAAATCAGGCACAGCACATGGTTTTGCTGCTGCTTCCCTTCGAGGTGCTACAACCCCTCCAGTGTCTGACCCGACGAGCTGTGTGCCAGTGTCCGTGCCAACCGTTTCTCTGCTGTATCCACCCTCTGCCTTCCCTTCCCTGTGGTCCTTGATGCCGGTGAATAGCAATACCCACAGGTCACCAGCGATGCTGCAGTCCATGGCGCTCCTGGGATCCTGCACTGACGGGCAGGAGATGGCTCGGGATCCCTCAGTGCTGGGCAGCCCTTCCCTGCCTCCCCACCAGCTGCCCTTTCCCAGCTGGTCTCTGCAGAAAGGAGCTTTGAGTCCTCTGCTGCCCCTTGGTGCTCACTAAGCCTGGAGGAGTCAGGGAATTTTGAACTCTCCCTGGCAACAGGAGTGTGGAAAGTGGTTTGGTTGAATCTTGAGGTCCCCAAACCCATTTGAACTACAGACCTTGGTGGGTGGGGGAATGCAGGTTGCTGTCAAACCTGCTTCCACAGCACCCGACTTGAAACCCCCCTCCCTCATCCGCTCTCCAGCGTTGTCTTCCTCTGTCCCAGGTTTCCGTTCTGTTGGATTCGGTGGTTACGATGTGCCTTTCCTTCTCAGGACCTGTTACAAATGACCTTTCTGCTCTTGTTTATGTTTAACATTTTATCTTTATCCCTCCCTCTGTCATACTATAAGACATGAACATAATGCATGGAATACAATACAATAAAAGTGTGGTTTAACTGACCCGCAGTGGCTGTGCCATACTGGGGGGAGGTGGGAGGAGGTGCCCATGGAACCAGGGCACCCCCAGCTCTGTCACCTCTGGGCTGGGTCCTGTCAGCTGACAGTCTGTTTCCTTTGCCAGCTGACGCTCATCAGCCCTCCTTGGAATTTCAGGCCACTCTTTGGGAGTTATCCTGCAAGTGCAGTCTCTGGTGAACAGTCACTCGGTGCTTGTGTCTGTTTTTTTTAAGATGTTTGAAAACATTAAGGTAAGAAAATATTTAAATATCCAGCTGCTGTGCTTGTCCAGAGCAAGGCGGGCAGGCAGGTGACTCAGAGGGACACAAGGCACTTCCCTCCTGGAGCCAGCACTCCTCAGCCCTGGGAGCACAGCCCGAGCACTCAGCACTCAGGGTCCAGCACAGTATTTGTGCCACTTTCTAACACTGAGTGGAGGCTGGAGTTTGGGTAACTCAACGTGCCAGGGAGGGTGGTGTGGAGAAGGGGCCCAGCTTATTTACAGTTATAATTTGATCCGAAGTGACAAGTGGCCCCGGGGCTGCAGCTCGAGCAGGCGGAGCAGGGTTTGCTGCTCCCCAGGGACAGCGCGGTAGGTTTGGGGCTGTAGCCGGGCTGTTGCTGGTAACATACTCTGTTTACATTCCACATTCCAGACAGTCCATGCTCCGGCCTGTCCCAGCAGTGCTGCACGTTCTGCCGGGCTGGGCACGCTTCCCAAACACCTCTTGTTCCTGCAAATGCGCCCTTAACCTCCAGCAAAACAGCTGCCCCCCCAGTTACAGCTGAACTGCAGCGGTGTGGGAGGGCCCTGCAGGCTGGAAGAGCAGCCTCGGGATCGCTGGGAAGGTGGAGGCAGCCAGGAGTTTGTTCGCTTGTCACATTGCATCACTTGGGAATAATGCTGTCAAACAGAGGGGTTTTCCTAGTTCTGGGAGATGCAGAGCCAGCACCGCTCTCTCCTGAGGGGTGATGGGATCTGAGGGCACATCTATCCCCAAGAGCAAGGAGGTTGCAGAGCAGGGAGCTGCTGTTTGTTAACGGAAAACTTAAAATTCCTGAGAAAAAGGCTCCTCTCCTGGGAGGAATCAGACTAGGAGCAAGAGGGGGCCCTGCAGAGGCACAAGGATCCCTTGTGAGATCACTATCCAAGCGCCCTGGCACAGGTCCCCTTGGATGACCCTGCTGTGCTGGGGAGCGGACCTGGGGCCAGAGGCTGAGGGCAAGATGGTCCTGGGACACCCCCACAAAACCTTCAACATCCACTTCTGGTGGATCCACAGGAGCTGGGAGACCTCTGGCAGTACCTGCATTTCGTTTCTAGAGAAGCATTTGGGGATAAACTTTATATTGATTCGATGATGTCAGAGGTCTTTTCCAGCCTAAGTGATCCGGTGATTTATTCCTCCTCAGAGATGCAACAGGGGAGCCTCCCCATTCCCTGCTCCTCTTTCGGGATCGATTAAAGGGGCCAAATTCACCCCAAAACGCCCATCCTCTCCTCTCTGCGAGGCGCTGCTCGAGGGGATCCTGCATCCATTCTCCCCTGCAGGGAGGGAACCACCTGGTCCTTTCGGAGCAGCAACACGAGGCAAATGCGAGGTCACCGAGCTCTGGCCGACCCCAGCCGCCCGCTCCGCGCGGCCCCGGCCGCACCCCCTCATGGCGGGGCCGCGGGCAGGCCGGGACTCGCCGCGCGCCCCTCGCACGGCCGCCGCCTCCGGCGGCGATCTCGGCGACGGGCCGCGCCGAGCTCCCGCGGGTGCCCGCACCCGGTGCCGGGGCTGTGCCGGGGTCCCCCAGGGTCGTCGCCGCGGTGCCCGCCCGACGCCGCCGCCCCGTTCCCCGCCGGGGGACTCACAACACCCCAGAGGTCGCGCGGCCGCGCGGTAGCGCGAGGCACCATGGACTTGTAGTCCCTTCTCTGGTCTGATCCCGCCCGCGCACGGGCCGTCCGCGCCCTCGCGCCACTTACATCTCCGTCGGCAACCGGCGTGCGGCCGCGGCGCCGCCGGTGGAGACATTCTGCGAGCCTAAGGGGCAGGGGGGCGAGTGGTCATCCAAGATGGCGGCGTGGGGAAGGAGGCGCGTGGCCGGCGGCAAACACAGCCGGCGGCGGCTCGGGAGAGGTGAGGGGCGGCGGGGACGGGGCGAGGGCAGGCGGGGGGATCGGGGCCGCGACCGCCCGCTGCTCCCCGCGCCGCCGCGGCGAGGGGCGGGCGCCGCGAACGGGAGCGCGGCCGGCAGGGCGGGCGCGGGACGCGGCCCCGCAGGGGCGGAGGGGCCGGGGGCGCCCGCGGGGCCGGGGCTGGAGGGGCGGCCGCGGCGGGGAAGGTCAGAGCCGCGAAGGCGGCGGCGCCTGCTCGTGGCGGGATGCGGCCCCGGGAGCCCGGGAGGAAGGAGGGCCGGCCGCGGGAGCTCCTCCGTCCACGCTATTTTTAAAAGCGGGAGGGAGTGCGGCGAGTCCTCGCAGGTGACTCCTTTCTGCGGGGCCCCGGCGGGCGCGGGGCCTCGTAAGGCGCCCGCTGCTGCTGCCGCTGGGGCGGGAGAGCCGCCAGAGCAGGCTGGGACTGCCCGCGGAGCAGCGGTGGAAGTTTGGGAATCGGTAACTTTAAAATGGGAAGAAAGAGACAGAAAGAAATGTCACAGAATCACTTAGGGTGGAAAAGACGTCTGAGATCGTCGAGTTCAGCCTGTGACCGAACACCACCTTCTCAGCCAGATCAGAGTACCGAGTGCCTCACCCAGTCTTTCCTTAAACAGCTCCAGGGACGGTGACTCCACCATTCCCTGGGCAGCCTCTTCCAATCGGCCTTTCTGGGAAGAAATTCTTCCTGATGTCCGACCTATAAGCCTCCCCTGGCACATCTCAAGACAGTGTCTCGTTGAGCTACTTTAAAAATCTGTGTGCACAGTTCTCCACCTGCTGAAAATGTTTGGGTTTATCCTGCATTTCCTGACGTTGGCATTTTTCTGTCCTGCCCCAGGGCTGACTGATGCAACCGGCAGCTGCTGAAAGCTGCTGCAGTGTTTTGTGAGTTTTCTTTTGTCCTGCTGCCTCACCTCGAAACTCTGATATCCCTCTTAACTAGAAACTATGATATCCCTCTTAATTTTTGTTGTGGCTTTTCCTTCACTTTGTTCCCTTACTGCAATTCAGCACTATTTGCTTTGACGGTGTTGAATCTACACAGCCAAGGGAGAGCCACAAGTAGCCCTCAAAATTCTGGCGCTGATGTGAATTGCAGGAATGCTGTCTGTGTTCAGGGAATTCAAAAGTAATTGTACTGGAAGAGCCAATGGAATTTCTGCATCAGTGTGGTTCATATAAACAGCTAAGAATACCACAGTGGTAAAGCTGTCTGCACCCAGTGCTGGCACTGCCCCAGCACGGGAGGTGTGGAGTTTTCATGGGGATTTTTTCATGTGGCACAGACCTGTCCTCTCAGCAGAAGAGAAGGGGGGGAACAAAAAAGGTATGGAAAAGAGCACTTAATAACTTCAATAAAAATTATTCTTCCAGGGTGAAAACTGACGCAGACTTAAAAGTGAGTTCTTGCCGTGTAACTTCATCTGTGAACTGTACAATAATTGTTGTTTGAGGTGATTTGTTTTCAAAGCTGTGATTGCTCTTGATCTTATGATGAAAAATATTCATAAACACGAGTCACTCCATGAACCTGCTGCATATATTATTTTTCCTTTGCCAGTGAGAAGGAGATGGAACAGAACAGATCCACCACTGAGCAGCGTTTCACAATCTCCATCAAAAGAGATGGTGGTTTTTTAGGTGTCACCCTGTACAAACGTGATGGAGGATGATGTTTTGGGTGATGACAGCGAGGTGCTGCTTCTTCCTGGCAGCTGCAGAGCAGGAGATACACATGACAGGGCCTCTGCCTCTCCATCAGAGGCTGGTCCCAAATCACACCTGCCTGTCTCGTTTGGCTGCTGCAGCACAGGTTGTGTACAGGCAGCGCTGACAGACCTGATGTCATCACATGATGACATGTGCTTTTTATAGGGTGAATACAGTTTTCTTACTCTGGGCAGGATTCTTGTCCAAAGACACATTCCTTTGAGCTGAATATGCTGATCCAGTTTTCCTCGTAACTGAGCTGCTTCAAGGAGTGTTTGTAGTTGTCAGCCAGACGGTCTAAAAGGCATCTGTGTGCCGGAGGTGGTGTGAGGAGACTCAGTACTGAATAAAATCCTGTCTGCTGTGAGACTAGAGCAGCTTTCATTTAAAAATATATATATATAAAAAAAAGACCAGCAACTCTATCTGTGGAGACTGAATCCCTTCATAAATGGCTTTATTGATACAGAGAAATCTGTAATTGGTCAAAAAGCACTTTCCTGGCTAGGAGTGAATGTAAGGACATTAATTTCAAAGGATGTTGACTGTTAACTCCAGCTGGCTCTGGTGGTGAAATAATAACATTCAACAAAAAAAACCAAAAACACTGAAGGGAACCAACTAAATATTTGTTTTTCTTCATTCTGGATAGACTCTTTAATGGAGACTGTCTAAAGGGAATTGTTGATCTGTAGACCAAAACAACTTTTTCATACAGAACAGACACTGGATTGTACTGGGTGTGTTTGTATAAAAGGCAGTGGACAGCGTGTCGTTTGTTCCCCTGGGAGATGTTCTGACAAACTCTGGAAAGAACAGCTTTCATGTCATCACCGCTGCCTGCACTGGCTCCTCTCTGCCCTTTCTGAGCTCTCTCACTACCTGCACTGCTCAGATTTCTGGTACTCTGCTTGCAGCAATGATTGACCTATTTCCATCAGCTTGGCTAATCATTAGTTGACTTAAAATTGACACCTCCTCGTTGTCCAGGGGCTGGAGTTTGTTGTTATGGTTTGGTGATGTTTTCCTTAGTGTTCAGGGAATGTTCTGGTCCCTTGTTGAGGCTGCTTGACCATCTCCCCAGTGTTGTCCTGTCATTTTTCCTATTTGTGTTTAAGGTGCATCTTCTGAGCTAAGGTCTTGCTTTATTGCTAAGCTTTTCCTGTTCTTCCTCTGCTTTAATGCCCTTCTTAAGGCCCCAGGCCTGGAAGATTGTGGGGGCACTCAGCAGAGAAACAATTCCCCAGGTGTTTGAGCTGGGACATGTTAGTGCTTTCTGTGCACCATACCCTGAGTAGGAGCACACTTGTGAATATGACTTGGAGGTGGAATATTTCCACTGAGAATTAAAGCCAGTCCACAGCTCCTTCCTTAATCTCGAAATTAAATTAAATTTCTTCAAGAAGGATTTATGTTAGGAGGGAGGGAAGTTTAGTGTTTGAATTTGTCATGCCTTGACTCTGTTGACTTGCTCCAGCTTGGCTGAGAGGCTGACAATGCCCACAGACATACTCTGGCCATCTAGAATGTCTTTTGTTTTGCAGATCACTTGCACAACCAGCACAAAGCCCCTCTTGCACTGCTGAACTAGACTCTGTGTGCTGTTTGTGACACATCTTATCACACTGATGCAAGCCTTTCCTTTCTTACTGTCTTAACTACTGATCAAACCGGTCTTCATTTGCAGTTAATCTGATTGCCTGTTTGGTGCTCTGTGCAATACTGTTGCCCAGGAATATTCTCCTGTTTTAAAAAAAACTTTAATAAAACTCAACTTATGTGTTAAGGGAGGGGTTTAAAAGGAACTTTCTTTTGCCCAGAACTGCACCTGCGCTTTGTGCAGCTTGAGGTTGTTTCTAAGTGTGATCCTGAGCATTTTGCAGAACTGAGATAGTTGGATGACTTGAAACCCTCACCAAAACTGTCTGGCAGATTGAGGAATGCCATTAGGCTGAGGGCAACAAACTTGGGAGGCTCAGGCAGGTGAGCAGTGGCAGGAGGAGGCTGGGGGTTCTCCCAGGATGTTTTTAGGTGCCCTGTTCTCAGCACTCTGTTCCTTTGTTTCTCCCATTTCCAGTTGGCACCTGGCAAAACTGATGGTCTTTTCACATGGAGTGCCATTGTGCTTCCTCCTTGGAATGTTATTTCTTTATCCGCAGGAAAAAAAACTATCAAATTGAAACTTCCGTTGAATTGAATTGAAGCAGCAAGTTGCTGTTTTCAGGAGCCTGCTTCCAAGCTGGAGGCACAGAAATGGAGCTGCTCTGAGGGGTGGAACTTAGGGAAAAATTCTTCCCTGTGAGGATGGTGAAGCCTTGGCACAGGTTGCCCAGAGAAGCTGTGGCTGCCCCATCCCTGGAAATGTCCAAGGCCAGGTTGGACTGGGCTTGGAGCAACCTGGGCTAGTGGAAGGTGTCCCTGCCCATGGCAGGGGGTGGAACTGGATGGTCTTTTAAGTTCCCTTCCAACCCAAACCATTCCATGATTTTATGAACTGCTGGAGCTGCTATTGTTCAGCAGCTGCAGCACCCCTCTCCTGGTGCTCTCTGATATTCCCATGTTAGGAAGACAATCCAAATGTAATTTGAACCTTGCCCTATAGCTAACACAGACACTTCTGCCCCTCCTGCTGCTGTAGGTCTGTTAACAATGGATTCCTTATTTAAAACTTTGGCAATACCAAAATTTGACATTGGTGATTTTTAAGTGATTTACATCTTGCTGTGCCGAATAGTTCAGAGTTCTGTCACATTTCCCCACCCAGGCATTCATTCTGCAGCTGGAATGAGACACTAAAATTTCTCAAGTATAGAAAGCCCAAAGCTGCAATAGAACAAATATTTGGATATAAGGTCCAGAATTATTCTTACAGAACAACTGTACAACTTTAATTTAGCCCTCTTTTTTGGAGTGGGGAGACAGGTCCTGGAAAATCATTTGGTTCAGTAATAACAACTGCTTTTAGGTTCTGGTCTGTCTAGTAAACAGCCTGATGGGCTTCTGAACACCAGGCAGCATTTTATGTCTTCTGGAACTAGGTGCTCTCTGGTTATTTACTATTCTTTTCAATAAAACAGAGTTTATACAAAATCCCCACACTTGATGACTTGATGCCAGCTCAGAGTTGCTTGCACAGCTCTGCATTTGTGTTTGTCATGGCCAGGGGGTGGGTGACAAGCTCCAAAAGGCAAATTCCGTGGCCTCCAGTGTTTGAGCAAATCCAACTGCTTTGACTGGATTTGTTGGTTTGCAGCTGCTGTGTTCAATTGAAAGGCTGTGTCAGGAGAGATCGACTCTGTGCATTGAGGTCCTTGCTCCTACTCAGCTGAAACCTCCTCAAGCCCACGTATCTCATCTGTGTCTTTTTCTGTATCATCTGAAATCAAACCAGTTTTCAGCTTTTCTTGCTCTGGGGGCAGCCAGTGAAATCTGTGATACAGATTTATTCTGATTTTTAGAGGACTAATTTGAGGAAAAAGCACAGTCAGGGGGACAGACTTTTTCAGCCTTTGTGTGGCTTAGTTGCCAGTGGTTTTTCTTTTCCAACAGAACATACTTTAAATTCTGCTTGTTTTGGCGTAGGAGGATTGTGCTTTTCTTGACTTTATTGTTATAAAGCCCCAGAGCCTGGCAAGCCAAAAGATTCCATTGGAGATGGACAGTGCTGCCTCTGGCCAATCTGTTGGATTCCTGCTCTCTGACAGGTGTTCATGGTATGGCTCTGCTTGTGCAGTGATGGCGAAAGGAAAAAGGGGGTGTTCAGAGGGAAGGACAGCAAGGAGCTCTCAATAAGGAGAAGTGAGGCTGATGGGTTAATGCCACCTGTCCTGGTGCTGAGCCTGGAAAAATCCCATGTAATGTAGTTACTGAATTCCTGGAGTTGGAAGCCCAGTTCCCATGGCTCTTGTACAGGCAGAGAAGGAATGGGCTCTCTTCATGTGTGTTTTCCCACTGATGGCAGGAGATCCTGGAGTGACAAGGCCACTGTGCTATTCCTAAGCCTCTGGGAATTTCTTAGTTGAATTTAGATTGTGCTTCTCTATCTTGCAGACCCATCTGCATGTTCCTAAGTATTACAACACACTGAAAGTGCTCCTTGGTAGGAAATACTAATTTTATCTGGAGGGTTGTGTTAGCACTGGGTCAGCTTCCAGCTCAAAAATGCCTTTCAGCAATAGCTTTTCCATGAAGTCATTATGCCCTAGCGAGTGGTTTCACATAGTCTGGGTGGTGGTGTGCAGAGTTACCTTAAGTCTCAGCATGTCTTTTGTAATGAAACTGGAGTTTTTGATTTGGAAGAAGCTGCACTTGGGCCACCAAGAAAAAGAGTCCCTGGCAGCAGCCATGACCAGCAGTGTCCTTAATGTCAGTGTAACATCTGCTTAACTGGTTCTTTGTTAGAAACTTCTTATATAGGTGCTTTCTTTAAATTTTTTTTTCTTTAAATACCTTCCAATTCACCACAGAACATCAGAGCCCACCACATCCTGTGCTAAAAGAGTTAATGGTAATTTCTCAAACAATGTCTGACAAGCTGATGGCCCTGAAGAAGCCCCTGGCATACACGGAATTCAGGTGGATTTTTATTTTTCTTTCTACCCATGAACAGGCCAAGGGGGAAATGCAGTGCAGAGAACTCAATAACTGCCTTGTAAGTTGAGTTTTCATTGTGGGTTATATAAATTCCAGCCAGACTTTCAATGAAATTGCTTATTACTCTGCTTTGGGAGAGGGTGGTGCCTCTCCCGTCCTGCTGATTGATGTTTGCTGCTGTTACAAACGCAGCTACTTCTGGCAACAGCTTGTAATTTAACAATATTCTTGATTACAGCTGGCCACTGCTCAATCCCCTTTGCAGCATGAGTGGAGCTGCACATTAAGGATAATGTTTGGCAACAGCAGCTTGTGAATGTGTATTTTTCTCCCTTATTTTCCAGTGCATGCACATAAGTACCACTGCACTAATGGAGCAAAAAGTGCTCCTTCCATTCTCCACATCAGCAGTGTTTTCCTCCTGGTATCAGGAGGGTCTAAATGCTGTTAGGATGAGGCTGTTTTGTCTGCTGAGATTAGGTCAAACGTGTGTGTGATTTGTTCTCTTTCTGCTAAAGGAATCTGCTAGATATTTTTATCCTTGAGAGGCCACGTGCTCAGTTTTGCTCTGGTTAAACACAAGTATGTCAGAAATAGTCATTTCTGCTTAGAAGGGAGGATTTTGCTGTGTTCCAAGGGATAGGTTTTTACCCTTTCTCAGGGCAGGTGAGCAGTCATAATCCTGTTTCTTAGCAGTCTGTACATGAATGTGGCTGCAGCTGTGGTGATGTGGTGGAGGGTGAAGGGAAGGTGGAAACTGATGTGATTTCAGGTAGTTAAAAGCTCCTGCTCCAATACAAGTCCCGTGAATCCCCTGTCAGTAGGGAATGTGCTCCCAGGTAACACAAGCAGCTCTTTCTTCACTGCTAAAGCGTGTCTGGGTTAAAAATGTTCCTTTCTTGCTTTGCTGCATCCTACGTCAGGAGAGGGAGTGTTCTGCAACAGAGTGCTCTGCTGCCTTCCTCACCTTGTTTCAGCAATGTATCTTGGCCATCCTTGTTGGATTTGCTATGGATTTACTAGGTTGGGTTTACTATGGAGGACTAAATATCAAGCTTCATCAGTGGCAAGGAGGTAACTATTGTGGGGTGAAAGCAAACGTATTCATCTAGAGATGCTTCCCCTCTCAAAACCTTCCAATGCATTTTGTCCTCTTGATGGATGAGCTGCTGGGTTTATTTTCTATGAAAACTCCTGAAGTCTGTGTGGTTTGTTCAGTGGGGCATTATGGTCACTAAGGTGTGAGTGACACTTCCACTGTCTCCAGAGAAACTGCTTGGGTATCAGTGTGAGGAACCATTTCAGGACTGTCAACAAGATCCTATTTCTCAAATTGCTTTATATCCCCCAAGTCAGGAAAAGGTAAGAAAAATATGTTGCCTTATTTTGGGATGAATTATTGTACAGCAGGTGTAATGAGCTGATGTGAAATGAAGCTTGAGTTCAAAAAGCTGCTGGTTGTGGAACACAGGCAGTGCCTGACCTTGAGGGGCTGCCCTCACTTGGGGCACTTCTCTGCTGCTCTCACAGCCAGGTGGGTGAACAGTCCATCCTTAGGCTCTGTCGTTTTAATTCCGAGTTTCCCGTTAACAGGGTCACCTTGTCCTCCACGGACTGTTACATTGTGCACGAGATCTACAACGGGGAGAATGCTCAGGACCAGTTTGAGTATGAGCTGGAGCAGGCCCTGGAAGCGCAGTACAAGTACATCGTGATCGAGCCCACGCGCATCGGGGACGAGACGGCCCGATGGATCACCGTCGGGAACTGCCTGCACAAGACGGCCGTGCTGGCGGGCACCACCTGCCTCTTCACCCCCCTGGCACTTCCAGTAGATTATTCTCACTACATCTCCCTGCCCGCTGGAGTGCTGAGCGTGGCCTGCTGCACCCTCTACGGGATCTCGTGGCAGTTTGATCCCTGCTGCAAGTACCAAGTCGAGTACGATGCCTATAAACTCTCCCGCCTGCCCCTGCATACGCTCACCTCGTCCACCCCCGTGGTGCTGGTGAGGAAGGACGACCTGCACAGAAAGAGACTGCACAACACGATAGCACTCGCTGCCCTGGTGTACTGTGTAAAGAAGATCTATGAACTCTATGCTGTATGACTTCAGCAGGGAAGAGAGAAACCCACAAAGACAAGTGTATTAAGACTCCCACAGTAACATTTTGTTTTTCCTCTTTGAGAAGCAGTGGAGACTGGGAAGGATTTGGTTTAATAGAGCTGTTATTTTTCAAATAACAAATCACTGGTGCACCAAGGTTTTTCAGTTCTTCGTTACACTTGAGATGTGGATGTGTGATGACTTGAGATCCGTATGTTAGGCCAGGGGAGTCCAATCCAGCAGCGGAATGTGGATGAAATAAAGCAATAGAAAGAGGGGGTGTGAGAGCTGCTTTTTTTTTTTTTTTTTTGGAAACAATTAAGTATATTGTTTAATTGTATTACACAGAACCAGCCAGAAGTTATCATTGACCATTAAAGGATGAGAATTTCAAATGCTTTTGCTCTCTTGTCACTGTTATCACAGTTCCCTTTGCTCTTGTGCTTCCTGGGGGTGGAGGCTTTGCTCTGAGAGTTGCAGTGGTGATAATTATTAATGCCTGGTCACACACAGACCTGATACTCCTCTTGTCCATTGCACATGGCAGCAGTGTCCATGTTACCTCACAGCAGCCATCTGCTGAAGGAACAACTGTAGGATGTTGCTATCCCTCTTGCTTGTGTTTCCTGGAGGAGCCTTATTTGTTACCTCAGGTTGATACCTTTTTGGTAATTGCTTAAACATTGATGGCTGGGGGTAGCAGCAGTTCTCTGCTGCCCTGCCACCTCCAACCATGACTCCTCTGCACACAGTAAGTTTCCAGCTACAAACACGTTCTGCTCCGTTCTTGTTAACGTGGCTACATCTCCACTGAAATGCCTTGTACCACGTGCAGCTGAGGGCTGCCGAGGTGGGAGTCCACCTGTCCTACCTTTGTGCTGTGTGCTGACTGTGCAATTCCACTGCTCTTGCCTGGAACACGCTTCTGGAGCTGCCTCCTTGTGCTGCAAGGCATCCAGGTGACTGCATCTTGTAACTGCATTACATGAAACTGTAGAATTCAGTCGTGTGCATTAATGCATCTTTTAGCTCTGAACTCAAAATCTTGTTCCTAGCTTGGGAAGTATTTACTGTTTTGCAAGGTCTGCCTGTTACTTCTAAAAGATAGGGACTGGCTGACTATAATCTCTTCATACCAGATGGAAAATGGGCGTGGCTGGCGTTTGCAGGGCACAGCTTGGCACAGCTTCAGGTGTTGGCATCAGGATACAAGAGCAAAGCCTGCAATAAAAGCTGCCTGTGCACAGATGTGCTCCCTGCTCCAGTGGTAGCTGCAGCCTGACCTCCACGGCTGAAACACCGACCTTGGCAGGGCCTCTCACAAGGTCAGACACCAAACGGAGTTGTTCTGTCTGTATCTCTCCAAATTTCCACAGCAGGCACCAAGAACTCCCCCTGTCTTTGCCTCCAGCATCTGCAGTTGTGATTTGTGCTTTTCTGCTGAGGCAGCTTTTGTGTGAGCAGGACAGGCAGCCTGTCTGTGTGTGCTGGGCAGGCTGGGGCTGCTGGGAGTTCTCAACCTTTAGCACCTGCACAGGCAGCTGTACCTGAGCGGGCCAGGGGCTGGAGGAAACTCCAGTGGCAGGGAGACCTTTCTGGGAGGCAACAGCACTTTGTACAGTGGCTGAGCTCTCTCCCTCCAAGGTTAAAAGAAGCTGGGATCCAGAGTGTCTATTTATAGCAACAATGTACAGTTGCCTTGGCAGAGAGGAGGGGAAGAAATGCAACTACTTAGTCTTTCTGTGGTTAGGCCAGGCTGGGCAGGTAGCCTGTCCATCCTGACATGTTTCCAAAGTCCTGTCTACTGGATGGATTTGAAGCTGGTGGCACATCTGCCATAGCTACTATTACTTATTGCTGCAGAAGGCCCTGAAATACCCTGTGCTGGCCACACCAAATGCCTTCCTGTTCTTTTTTACTCAATGCAGAATAATTCTCAGGGCCTTTAGTTCCTTTTCTTCACCAAACCTCTGTGGTCCTGGCATTTTTTTTGTGAGGGATATAAGAAAAGGAAAACAAAACCCTCCTGCTTTCCCTTCCTCTAACGTTACCTCCTGTGAGGAGCTGGAGTAGACCAAAGGATTCATTTCATAGCAATGTAATTTATTTGTCATCAGATGAGCACTCACAGTCAGGACTTACGAGGCAGGACATGGAAAATGCTGGCAAGTGCATGGAGGTGGCAACAGGGGTCTGGACCTTTGTTTTCCTATTAGTCGGTTTTATTTTAATTACAAGTTTAAAAAGATTATTTCTGTCCTTACTGAACTCTCTGTGCAGCAATTCCTTTTTCCTGGAGCTGGTATCTCTCACATGAGAACAGGCAAAGAATGGAATATAGCACTCCCTGAAGCCTGTGATGAGTGAACAGGCAGGTATCATTCCCCACTGGATGTGATCCTAATTAGCATCTGTGATTGCTTTGAAGCAATGAGAACTAAGGGTCTGTCTGCCAGACTGTGCATCCTACACACACAGGTTCTCCTCTGCATCCAGGAGACAGGGCCTGGCATCCACGGGATCACACCTGCTCTGTGCTCCAGGCCTGCAGCTGGGCCAGGTGTGCTGCTCTCACCTTGCTGTGACTTGCTGTGCTGTTCTATCTGTTCAGTGCTTTCCTGCATTCTCTGGTGCTTGGGGTTCATACTGTGCTGCCAGTGCAGAGTTAAATGTCCCCGTACATCAGTAAGACACAGTTCAGACAGGTAAAATGATGGCCAAATATACTTCAATTGTACATCAGTTACTTCTTTAAAAATGGCACTGGACTTGAACTTAACATATCAGATGACCTGGCATGTTAACAAGCAGAAGCTCTGTGCAGTTTCCCACTTCAAGCAGCATGTTCTGGATCGGATTGGAAGGAGTGGGAAGGAGACACTGATCACGAGAGCCAAGGACTGTATTTCACAGGGGCCATGGCGTGGGGAAAGCCAAGATCTGCTTGTGTGAAGGCAAAACAGGTGGGTTTTATTTGTAGCAGCCCAGTAGATCTGAGCATGCCTGGAGTGAGGTGAGGTGCTGTGTTCCAGCACAGGGGCCTCCCCGGCTGCAGTGTTCCCTTGAGTCACCCTCCCCTGCAGCCTCAGCTCTCCCCCGTTGTCCGAGCACCCTTCCTTCTCCAGGTGAGGTTTAGGTGCTTTCTTCCACCAGTGTGGGGGAAACCACTTCCCACTCTCCATGCAATAGTAAACTTCAGTATTTTGAGAAAGGTTTTTCCTGCAGGAGCACCTCCAATGATGTCCCAGCCGACTGCAGGGGCTCAGCCTGTCCCTGCAGGTACTGCTCAGGCAATCTGAGCTCTAAGAGTCCTTTGCTTTTCTCTCCTTTTTTGCTCTAGATGCCATTAAGGTGAAGAAGACCCTGGGGCAGAGGTTCCTCAGGTAGACAGCCAGGAAGGGAGTCAGGCCAGCCACGAGCACTTCCTTCTTCCTCTGTCCCACTGCATTGAGAACCACCTGAGCCACCTCGGCCGCCGTCTGTCCCTGGGCCGTGGTCTTGTCCATAACTGCCAAGGGAAAGCCCAGTGAGCATCAGTATCAGCAGGTAAACCCACACTTAGGTACCTTTCCTAGGAATGCTCTAACTGTACATGGCTGCTTGTATTGGCTTTTACTCCAGTTGTGTAGGGGAGCACAGGCAGGCGTAACTCATGGTTGGGCCAGTAGTCACTGTCTAGGAAGGTTCAATTTTGGAGGTTACTGTTCCTACCCTGCATCCCAAGTTGCTTTTTGATCCTTCAGAACTAACCTGTGTCCCCACCAGAGGCAAGCACACCTTGTAGCAACCCAGTGAGATGGAGATGCTTTAGAAATAGGGCACCAAATCGTATCTCACCTCCATAGCGAGATCCATCTGCTGTGATAGCGTTGAGAGAGAGGTTTGTCTGGATGTATCCGGGGCTCACAACTGTCACATCAATGTCATACTGCTCCACCTCTGCTCGCAGGCAGTCAAAGAAGGCCTGGGTAGCGTGCTTAGAGGCAGCATCTGAAAAACAGGGAAAGGGCTGTGCACCAAAGAGAAGGAGCAGGGCTGAAGGAATATTCACTGCCCAAGTGGCTTTTTAACACTGCAGAGCAGCCACTTCTCAGCAAGAACCCAGCAGCTGTTCTCCAGCTTCTACGTTTGTTTTTGTTTAGTGAATGGCAGCAACAGGTAGTGGGAGTGAGAGGCAATTTAGGAAGGCAAACTGTAAACTCAAGTTGAAAACTGGCTGGGATCCTGAGCTTACTATCACAGCCCTGCCAAAGCACTCCAGAGTGAACCCAGGCTGCCTCCCACTCCTGATAAAGGACACCCAAAGTCTGGCTTAGGACGTGTTGGTCAGACAGGCTCTGTCTGGGGAGGGCAGAGCTGGCAGTCCCTGCACGGTGCTGAGCACTTGGGGACTTGCAGAGCAGGTTCAGAGCTTGGCTGCACATGGGTCAAAACCAGATCTCACAAGCAGGCAGGAGCAGGGAAATGTGGCCTAGGGCAGGATTTCCCCCTGTTAAATGGCTGAGTGACTCCGTTTCCTTGCTCCCTTCCCATATCCATGGTCACTGCCACCACCTCACCATGGCTGCAGGGCTGACTCCAGCAGCAGGAGCTCAGCATGGGCTGCACACCCTGTGAGGACCCAGGCAAGGACTCTTCAGAACACAATTCCTGGAGCAGTCACACCCACATCACCTGCAAGACCCCATGGCTCAGACATTCCAGGCTCTCCTCCACTCAGCATTGTGCCTGACCCATCTTATGCCACCACCACTGTCCTTTCAGTGTTTATTTTCAGCGATTTACAGGTGCTTGTGTGCTAAACACTCTACTCTTGGTTCATCCATCTTTTAAGAGGCTTTTTCCAGTAATCTCACCAATGTTATTTCTTGTCGTAGCTGATTTAACATGAACCATTTGCTGGATCAAGATGACTGTTTCGGCTTTTATTTTGGCGTTGGTTTTACTAGAGCACTTCATAAATTACTGAAACAAAAGGTTCCTACTTTCTTACTGGAGATTAACCAAGCAAACAGCAAGGATAAAATGCAATAAAATTATGGATTTACAGGGACTCTCAAGTGTTAAAATAGGATTATCAAGGTGTTTTCAGGACACTGAAAACATATTGTCCTTCTCCATCCCTTAACAACTTCGGGATAGGACTCAGGTTTTGTATTTGAGAGTACCTTCCTCATCTTCTCTCAGTGATTTGTGACCACACTGAGGGTGATGCACAGCTCTGCCTTCCCTGCACGCAGCCAGCTCCATGGAGAGCTAAATGTGGAAGCAGGAGCCAAGTATTTATTCAGCCTGGTGCCCCAAATATGTCTTTCCCATCTTCTGTGGAGGTACTTACATGCGGATCTGAAAGGAATGCTTATTTTGCCTTGAACGCTGCTGATGGCCACAA